CTGATAATTAATAGTGTTTATTTAAAACCTGGTTCAAATCTGCTCCTTCCTGCAGATGAAATCTTGGGTGCAGCAGCAGAAGTGGGTTAAGGCGGGTATGATGTGAACAGAGATAAGAGCTGAAATGACRTGCATGGGATAAATCATAAAAAAAGGCTGAGTTTCATAAATTGGCTCAGAATTTGATCGCTGSTCTCAAAAATCCAAGATTGCCACAGAGTTTTCCTGCAGTTTTGAATCAGCAGCTTCAGTTTCCAGGAGTCTGGACCTGCACACACTGACACTAAATTATTCCCTTGGGGATAATTCATGGATGACCCGTGTTTTAGTGTATATAAGCAGCAGAGACTCGCCATAAAAGAGTAAATAATGACTGAGATTACAGTTTGAAGTGAATCTGACACTTTCTGTTGAAGGTTTTATTGCTGACGSGACGAGACAAACGCCTCTCAGCTGATGACATCTTACAGTTTGTCTCCAGCTGTCAGCAGTAAATCAGCTGTCTGCTGCAGCGAGACGCTTTCCTCTACATTTAATTCTTCTATATAAATATTTACCTGAGGCAGGATGTAAAGCTTTTTCATAAATCAAGAATTGTCAGGTGGTTTTTCTTCGGTTAGAATTAGTTTTACAGCAAACATCAGATTGTCTTAAAAACAACCTCAGATATTGTATTATTTTCCTGACCTCCAGCCTCTTCCTCCTCCCTGTTTCATAGATTATTAATAAATCAGCCTCCTACTCTCTGCAGGATTCTCCTCCTCTGATTCAGTGATTATCGCCGCCGCAGCGTTTCACAATGACTCCTGTGTGAAAGCTGAAGTAGTTTCATTATGACTGGGTTTATAAATGAGTGACAAACTGGGTGGTTTAACAATAACCCTCACTGTGCGCCATTTATTAACAAAGATTTATAATCTGGCGGCAGATTAAAGCGGCAGGCTGAGCCGTCAGAGTTTTACAGCTGTAAAGTGGAGCAGGTTTGATTAAAACGGGTTAAAGTCTGTTAAAGTCGGGCATCCTGTAGATTAAAGGGTTTTGCAGAAGACTTGATGCAAACATGTAACAACTCTGCTGAGTGAGGTGTGAAGCCAGAGTTTACTGGTTGTACAAACAATACTCCAAAACTGTGTACATGGTGGTAAAATAATACTAAAATAAGAAGAAAAGGGTTTAATAAGTTAGCTTCAAGAGACGAGGCGATGAGAAGTCAGAGTAAGCTTGAAGTGAATAAAAACTTAACGTTGTTCACAAAGTTGTAAAGTAACCAAGTACAAATACTTTGTATTGTTATTAAGTAGAAATTATGGTTATCTGTACTTTACTTGAGTAATTATTTTTCATCCAACTTTTACTTCAACTCCTTACATTTTTACAGTTATCTGTTCTTTCTACTCCTTACATTTTTACAGTTATCTGTTCTTTCTACTCCTTACATTTTTACAGTTATCTGTTCTTTCTACTCCTTACATTTTTTTAAAGGGGTAAGAAGTAGAAAGTATATAAGTATACAGTATTTATA